CCACCGTAAGAGTTTTTAACAATCCAGAATTTTCTTTTACTCTCGTCCGACTCTGTTCCATACCCGACAATTGTCATGCGTGACTCAGTTTTTTTTCCACAGTTTTTATTTTCAGTGGTAAGAGTACCCTACAAAACATGTTAGATAGATATATTATTATAAAAAAAAAGAAACTGAAGTATAAAAATTCAGATAACGATTGATGTAAAATTTTCCGGTTAGTACCCCAGAATAAAAAAGGAAATCTTCATGTCTTGCATCGATTCCGATTGTTACCGGTTGGGTTGCCACAGCTGTAAGTAAAGCTTCCTCGTCGTTCCGTTTTAGGAGTCCAACACTGTTGGACTAGTAAAACGGAACGACGAGGAAGCTTTATGAACTCTAGTGCACGCCTCCTGTAACCATATAAACAACCTTTACTCGATGCATCGCAATCGACAAGCTGTTGTGTGGACAGGTTAAGCAATGTGTTTGTCCTTATAAAATTAATGCCCTCGACATTTGCAGCAGCTGCAAAAGCCCAGCAACTTCCTACAAATGGATCAGGAATTTGCAGAAATATTAGATTCAAGAAAGATTCAGTTTTACTCTTCGACCCATCATCAAATATCATTTAATTTCATAAGTCATTTACTCTCTTTTTGTTTTAAGCAAATGACTTAGTGTGTTGTAATAGTAGTAACCTAAAAGTACTCTTATCTTCCATCAATCCATACCAAAAACTCCCCAAGCAAAATAAATCATAACAATTAAAAAAAAAAATATTCCTTGACTTTTTAAAACAAAAAGATTACTCTTTTTCATTTTAAAGCAAACCGGACTTCGGAATTGAGAGAAATCTTCTTAGCTAGGGAGATTAATCAACTTTACTATGATAAAACTATCAATTTTTAAACACTCACCACATATGCCTTGATTTTTGACGTTGGTGACAGCGTCTTTTTGTCGACAATCAAGCAAAACAGGTGGCTGGACCTTATTCTCCGGATCACTGGAGGTGGCTTTTATCTGGCCATCATCCACGTTGCATTCTTGGATGAACTCAGATGTCGTCAAATTAGCAAACTTGTTCAGTCTCAGCGTGAAGGGTTTCCCCATCTTGTTGCTTTCGCGGATGTAATGGGCATTCCTCCTAAATATCTCGAACCGGTTGAAACCGGTTCAGGAAGATATTCAGGAAGAATGCCCACTACATGAACCGGTCTGGTTCATGTCGCTTTCATTGCCGACGCCGTAGTGGCTCCTCACTTTCATTGTATTCGAATCCACAGCAAATCTGGAGGATGAGAGCCATAAAGAGAAATATCAAGAGCAACTCTTTAATCATATTGTTTTTCTTCTGACTGATTATTAGAAGTTGAATGTCTAAAAAAAAAAGATTGAGTTGGTGAGCTAAAACGACCAGAGGAGAGACCTATTTATAGCGTCCTGAGAATTAAAATTAATATAATAGTATTAAAATTTTGGGGTTCTAAATTAATATAATAGTTTTAAAATTTTGCTCCTTACAAAAATTAGAATCTCTCATAATTTCATACCTACAATAGTAAACCTCATATAAGGTTCTTAGTAATAAATTTTATTTTATTTTAACTCGATTTTTGCATAATAATTATTTATATAAGTAATTGTAAACATATAAGTTTTTATGAAAACAATTTTATTTTGCATTACATAAAAATAAAAACATACAGAATTTTGAAAATGAAATTATATAATAAAAATGCTTAGTTTTGACCTTGAGAATTGTCAAATTTTTGCCAAATATGTGCAACTAAATCATCTTTTAGTTGCTCATGTATTTTTTTTATCGCGAACTTCATTTTTTTTTGCTGAGCAAAATGTTGAGATTTGTAGGCATATTTGTAAAATACGTCTTATCCACCTCTGAAGTTCCGTTTCCTTGTCCTTGCTCGAAAGTTCTTGTATCGAATTGAGTAGACGCCTCTCTTTCGTTTTCGACAATCATATTGTGTAATATGATACATGCTCTCATTATCTTGCCAATCTTTTCCTTATCCTAAAAAACAGCAGGTTTTTTTATAATTGCAAAACGTGCTTGCAAGACTCCAAAAGCTCGTTCAACATCTTTTTGGACGGATTCTTGACATGTAGCAAATAATTTTGCCTTATCACCTTGTAGCAGTGGAATTGATTGGACAAAAGTTGCCCACTCTGGATAAATACCGTCTGTGAGGTAGTACGGCAAACGGTATTGATGTCTGTTGACCCAGTAAGAAACTTTTGGTGCTCGACCTTGTAAAATATCATCGAAAACAGGTGAGCGATCGAGAACATTGATATCGTTTAATGTACCTGGAGGTCCAAAAAACGCATGTCATATCCAAAGATCCTGAGATGCTACAGCCTAACACAATTGTCGGTTTTCCTGAACCACGTGTATATTGTCCCTTCCATGCGGTAGGGCAATTTTCCACTCCTAATGCATACAATCGATGCTTCCTATCATCCCAAGAAATCCGCGTATCTCTCCAATATCAAGTAGTCGTTGTAGATCGTCTGGGGTGGGTCTTCTTAGGTATTCTTCCCCGAATACATTGATGATTCCTTGAACAAAATTTTCCAAGCACCTAAGTGCAGTGGTTTCACCGAGGCGGAGGTATTCATCAACTACATCAGAAGCACAACCATACGCCAAAATACGAATTGATGTCGTACATTTCTGTATTGCAGAGAGACCGAACCTGCCAGTAGCATCTCTTTTTTTTTTTTGAAGAAAACAACTTCTTGGGAGAGCTGATCAACGATATGCATGAACAGCGACTTGTTCATTTTGAAACGGCGTGGGACTATATGAGGAGGATATGTTGCATCTTCACTAAAATAATCATTCCATAAATGTTGGTGGCCTATTTCTCGTTCTCTTTCAATATATGCATGTTTCTTCTTTGCCTTTGTTGCTGCTTGATTCGCTAAAACGGTGTCAAACATATTGTCAACTGTTTGATTGAATAGTTCATCAAAACTGTCGTCAATGGATGTCTCAAAAATATTGTTTGATGAAGATGCCATGTTGTTGTGTTTCTGTTAAAGGAATAAGAGATGTAGAGTTAGAGTTTAAGAGATGGAGTTTAGAACAAAAGAGATAGAGTTTAGAAGAAAGAGATGGAGTTTAGAAGAAAAGAGATGGATTTTAGAAGAAAAGATATGGAGTTGAAGAGATGGAGTTTGGTATGGCGAAAAGATGTGTAAACTCGTCGATGAGTTGAAGAGATGGAGTTTGGTTTATGGTAAAGTATGAACTCATATATATAGACCATTTCATGGACATTACAAAGCAGAGAAACGGATATGGTTAATCAAGTATTGATAAAAAAATATGTGGTCTACATTACAAAGCAGAGAAACAACAATGGTCAATCAAGTATCCGTGACACAAAACCATATCAATACAAAGTAGAGCAACGACAAATTCGAACCACAACAAAAACCCGTGAATGTATATCAGCCATTGTCCTCTCTTTGTGCCTTGCATACCTGTGACCTGCAAATGAAAGTAAAGAAAAATTTTAGCCGACAATATACATACAATACACAAGAAAACTCTTAAACATTAAGCTATAATGTGAGAGATCGTAAAACAAGTATCTTCTTAAACGTTAATAAAAACAAGCCATAATGACACATAATGATCGACCATATCAGCATAAAACAATATAACTACAATCCCCAACAAACTCTTAAACGTTAATACAAAATAACTAAAACCTTAGCATAAAAGACATAGTACTTATTACAGAATTGGTAGGCCTGATTATAAAATATTTCATTGATTAGTTTGGTCTTCAGAGCGATATCTATGTCAGACAATGGCTCGGTTTTGGTAGTAGATGTTCAAGCATCTTCTGCTTTAACAGATTCTTTTTCATTTCCAAATCTTGTTTCTTGATTTTTCACACACTCTGTAGCTGCAAGAGAGCCTTCCCAACGTCGTCACTAGCGGTTGTGGTTGTTCCACCCTTCTTAGCTTTAGCAGCTTTTGCGGCCTTAACTCCAGCCGGCCCTGCCTCTAATACATCTTCTGCTGGGACTTCCTCTTGGCAACTTGATGACTGACCTGAAAACTTATCCATCTTCCTTCGTTTACACTTACCACTGTCTTTACTTGATGCATTTGAACACCATTTCTGGTCATGGTGCAACTCTGTCCACGCGTGTTCAAGCATGAACTTGACTTGGTAATCATTGAAGAAAATCTCGTTTGCTGCCTTCATTACGTCGTTTTTCATTTTGGCCGGATCTCTGATCCTTCACTGCGGCGTCGAAACAACCCACAAACTTGCACACCTGATCGTTCAGCCTCCCCCACCGTTTTTTGCACTGACTGGTCGATCTAGCTTCTGAACCACTCAGCTGGAGGCTAGCATTGAAGTAAGCCTGTATCCTCTTCCAAAAAGCCCCTAACCTCTGCTCATTTCCGACCACAGGGTCTTTGCTGGTGTTCAACCAAGCAGAGATGAGCACTACATCCTCCTTTGATGTCCACGGCCTGTTTTGCTTTCGGTCTTCAACAATTACACTTGGATCATCAGAACCTTGGCTACTAAACCGAGGTGGTTCTGATGATCCAAGGTCTATAGTTTGTGGAAAACCATATGTGATTTCTTCTTGACTAGTTAGTAGATTCACAAACCCCTGAGAGGTTCTAAATGGATTAGGAGAATCCATTTATCAGTTTATAAAGAAGGGTTTGGAAAGAAGTTTTTGATCGTTTACAGAGGTTTTGTTTTGAAAAGGTTAAGGGAAGAAGGGATTTGAAAGGGATAAGAGAACAATGGATTTGAAAAGGATGAGGTTTTTTAGGGGTTGTATGATGTTTGTTCGCTTAGATGGATATTAATGGGGTTTTGTTTAATGTTTTTAAGTCTACTTAACCTATTTTAAGAGATAGCAATTACTCTTCACCAAACAAGCATTGATCACACAAGTTTTTTTATTTAAAGCAACCAGAACTACTAACATTAACTCTTCACCAACCATTAGTACTAACTTTAACTCATCTAACATTTTCCCTTACGATACTAAATAGTAGTTAGGAATCAAACTAACCTTGTGGTTGAGGCTGAAACGAACCCACTCGATCATTCGCTCCATGTTAAGGAATTTATTGCACTCCATATAACCTCGCAAATAAAAAGGTACGTGTTAGCCATTATTCCCGAAACAAAACCAAGCATCGAGTATTAACAAATAAAAGGTAAGAAGAATAACCTTACCGCCATCCAACCTTCACCTTGAACTCTCACCAATAAATACTAAGCAACTTATACATTCTCGAAAATCATTAACCAGACAACTTTGCCTCATAATAGCGAATAATCTTAACATAATACAAACGGTCTAGTCAAACATATTAGTCTTAATACAAACGATATACTCAAACGGTCTAGTCAAACATAATGGTCTTTAATACATAGGGAGTAGTTGCAACTCACGATATACTACTTAAACATATAAGAAACCGCAGCAATAACAATTAGAAAACAAAGTAGCATAAAGCTATCACCTTGGCTTGCATATATATCCTTCAGCCTGGCCACTTCACCTTGAAGCACTCGGACCTCATCCTGTAGTTCTCCTATCACGGAGAAAACATATAACAATTAGCATTAACATATCTTCCACATTAGTCGTAATACAAAAATTCATCACAAAAACAATTATTACCTTGGCTTAAACATAGCTCATTCAGCCTTGACACTTCACCTTCAACCACTCGGATCTTTTCCTGTAGTTCTCCAATCGCGGGATTAAATCCTTGAAACCTGTCACGCTTAAGCATCTCCTTTTGCTCTTGAAGACGCGACTGGAGGATAGAGATTTGCTCATTCACGCCTTCATTCCAACACTTCTATATATGTTCTCCCCTTCCCTACATACATTGGCAATGGTTATCAAAGAGTCACAAATTCTCAAAAACTAACAAAAATTACAATAAGCTGGAAAACATTATTTCTTTCACCCAAGCAGGACACTTGAAGTCTTTGCGGCATGTGGCATTACCTGTTCAGACTTCAAGCTTCATCTGGAGGCCACATAAGCATTTCTCAGGGATGTCGTAGTTAGCATCAGCATAGGCCCACCCCAAGTCCTGCTCTGGTTCTTCAGAAGACATATCGCTGTAGCTGATCGGCATAACCTGCATATAACAACCAGTTCAATGTCGTCAAACACTTACGTAAACCATATGAATAAACTCATTATCAACCAAAAAAGTTTAAAAGTATCTAAAATCTAAACCGTTTAACAATGATCCACAAAATAATCAAATTACAATCAAAAACCAATAGATAATATGTTAATCTGATTTTGGCAATAATTTTGATATGGATGAAATCCCTAATCCCGAACCCTAATTTGATTATCGGAAACATACAGAAAGCTAATGAACTTTTGAATTACCCCTAATTTGATTCAAATACGAAAACCCCTAAAAATTCCCCAATTTTGTAAACCCTAAAAATTTCCCCAAATTTGATTACCATAATTTCAGACGAAATCAGTTCAAACAAAATACAATATAACAACGCAAATGACCCGATTACTTACCTTCTCAAAGCTCTGTCTTCGATTCCGAGTCAAACACTAAAGAGATAAAACTTGATGATAGAACTGTCTTGAACGAAAAATCAGAGGAGATGAAACGGATTACACGAGAGCCGAAGAGACGAGTTGAAGACATAATGGAAGCCGACACAAAGATGTTCTCCGATTAACGGTGAATGTGTCCGGGCGAAATCGTTGCGAAATTAATGAAGAGAAGCTTTGTGATGAAAATGATTTTGGCTGGATAAAAAACTTGCTAAGTGTGAGAAGCAGTAGAGGGTTTTCTTTTCCCAAGTGCAACAAATAAGAATGCGACATGTACCTCATGAACTCCGATTTAGAGACGAGTCTAAAATCTCTTCTGCAAGAACCGGATTGAAAGATATTAGGCTTAAATCTAAAATATTAACGAATCCATCTTAAAACTCGTTTAAAACCCCCATTGCAGATGCTCTAATATCATCGTTTAAGACCTTCTTATGGATAACGATGATGTTGTACGTACAAACATGATGATATATTAACATGCATACGATGATGCCCACATAGTAGGTGGAACCCACCCATTTATTCATGTATTGAATGTGTGCATGTTATTCACCTTTAAGACTTTGACAATTATACATTAGTGCTTTCATTAAATTACATACGTTTCAATGAAATTATATCGATAAATATTACTATATTAAGTTCTAACTTGTAAAATCGACCACTATATAGTTCATGGTCGTTAACATTATCTATAACATACGTTTCAATAAAATTTATTAGCTAGGTTGAGCACAATTGTATGGATAACTATTTTAGTGATGTCACATAATGCATATTAATTCGGTCCACACATGTTGTGCCTATATATATATTTACACTGTCCTCACATGATCGATGGATGCAAGTCTGCAACACATGGTTTCTCTCTACTCTCTAATGTTTGTTTACGTTAGTTTAAATTGGCGACACTAATTTAATCATTTTGAATGGTTATGTTCTTATGTTCTTCATATAATTTCTATAAATAGTAGGAAAAGTTAATCAATATAGGCGGAGTGGGTGCATTATGTCTCTCATAAATTCAGAATTGCAAAATGTGGGATCTCAGCCTTAACGATCAATATTGAATTCACTAATTACACAGTATAAACTAATTCTGGTCGCTGATATTCTTTGTATATATATATATATATACACGTAAATCAATTCGTTGGTCTATGTGTATTTCCGTGGATCTCGATGCCTAGCTTACGTTATTATATAAATCCAGAGCCGTGCCTTATGTGTTGGGAGTTAGGCATTAGCTTAAAGTCACCAAAAATTAAGAAAAATTTAAGGCCACAATTTTATTAACTAGGTTCATATATATATAGTTAATTAATGAAATAAATATTATTGGGTTCTTTTTTAGAGAGAAGTTCATATACTATTATTATTATTATTAATATTATTATCATAAATAAAGAGATAAATAAAAAAAGAAATTTAACTAATTGAAACAAACAGAATTAAAAAAGTTATCCCACATTAATGTTCTAAAAGAGGAGGTATATAATTTTTCTTCAATAAATAGCAACATCATTAAGAATTTTTTTGAGCTTAAAACCTACATTCAAAACAAAATTTAGGTTTGATCGGAACTATCGGTTTTAACCATAGATATTCGCAAAATTTTAATTAGTTTTTTCTGATTTTACCTAGGTTTTCAAAAATTCGGTTTAATAGCTAATCCAGATTGGCTTGTCAATCAATTCTCGGTTACACTTTACAAAGTTGTGGGCTAAACTCATTGATATCGGCCAAAGACGATATTTTTATAGTTTCAATTATTATTATTATTGTTGTGTATGATTCAGACGATATTTTATACTAATCTTTTATAAAGGTCATATTTTTTTAGTTCGCCTAAAGCCACCACTATCTAAGTACGGATTTATAATAACGCCTTCCATTATCACGCTCAGACTATACTATATATTGAACGAAGAGAGTGATCATCAATTCATCATTCACACTACAGTTAGTGATGGAGCACAAATATTCCCTTTAGTCTAAACATCTCACAACGTTTGATTGTTTTGTGAATATGACTGTTTTGTTGGATGCTCATTAATACTCGACACACCAATTTTTCAAACCCTGTCATTAATAAGCCATTGAAATCATACGCAGGACCTACTATTCAATCATATTTTTGGTTAAAGGCTAATATTATTTATATGAAAAGTTTCAATACAAAAAAAAATGGAGTTCAAAGAATAATTTATAGATGTCTATATGTTTCGATGAGGATAAACTAACTTAGTAATGTATATTTGTCAACAAGCCTCGCATGTGGGTTTCAAAATTCTATATGATCATTAATTAGATTCGGTAACAAATTTTCTCATTTACCGTGAAATAACTTGCACACGCACATATATAGATGCGAACATGCATCTTGGTCTCGCATGTATGTATGCATGTTAGCATGTGTATGCTATGTCGTATGTATGATTCACGACAGAGTATGTCTGTCGTATATCGTTGAATATAAAATTCAGTGAGTCCAAGTTCTGTCTTATTGTAAACTCCTTAATCGACTTTATCTAACAATGAGATATTATGTTATATTATATCTATAGTATATGGGCTCTGATCTCAACCAAGTTTTTTTTTAAAAAAAGAAAAGATTGTGGTCCAGAATGTGATTTTATTTCAAATTATTTCGCACTAATGTCCAACTTTTTTTTGTTGGTCTCCATCTACACAAAATGATGTGTATCATATATGTCAATTTGAAATCCGAAATCGGAGAATGAGGATTTGATAGAGATCATTTCATATATACAAATTGATTAAAATATGTATAGCTAATTACAAAATGAAAAAATCGATACTAAACAGCTTCATCTTTGGTTTCAAAATATACCACTGCTTCTTCATAATAATAGACCGTAACAAGTGGTTAATTTATTTAAAAATATAAGACCAACAATTACACTTTGATTCGATGTGCCACTCAACTCAACATCTTACTTAAATTTAATGTAAGGGGACAAAACTTCATGCATGGCATAGCTCCTCGATCGCAAATTCAAAAGGTTACTATGAATGCATAAGGACATTTTCATTTTTTCAAACAGCATGCATTTCAAGAAATCCCTTTAATAATACAACGTTAATATAATTTCGGCACCTCCTCGATCGCAATTTCAAAAGGTTACCATGAATGTATAAGGACCTTTTCATTTGTCAAAGCACATGCATTTCTAGAAACCCATATAATAATACAACGATAATATTAGTATAATTATAAAACCACCCAGTTATATGGTAAACGGCTCGTATATATGGTCAGTAGAAAATAAATATATCTTAACAAAAAAAATTGAATGCAAGAAAAAAAAATATATATGTATATAAATTCCACCAGCATCATGCGTAACTTTTTTACTTCATACTACTATTTTACTTTCGAAGAAAGAGAGTCGACATGCTCGTTTTATTTCGGAGTATCCACCAACGTATTTGATTCACTACTCTAACTTATAAAATTTCTCATATATAATATACTAATGGAGATAGTGTTGGGTGAATTGAATACTTCTTGGCATTGCCATAAACAGGATATTATTGCGAAAAACCATATCGGCGGGCAGCTTATTAATTGGACAAGGTGACAAAACATACATCCATGTCAATGCCGCTGCAAACTAGCAATTCCAAAAGAATGTACATGTCATCATCACGTCATGCATAATTTACATATATACACATTTGCACATAAGCTATACTATTCTATATATATTATTCTTTCACTGTTTCTTTGTAGTAATTTGTATGATCTTTTTTCTTCTCAACCGTTGTAATTTATATTATTTTACTATAATCTGTTTTTCTTATTTATATGAGAATTGTTAACGCTCTCTTTTTACATTCAAAATTAAAAAAAAAAAAAAACAGTTCGAAATCACAATTAAAGAGATGAATATTAGAAGGAAAAAAACGTATATAGTTATAGATAGCAAAAATTTTAAAGGGCAAGTTACATGAGTTAATTATACAACAACCTAGCAACACTTTAATAGAAAGTTCTAAAGTCTGAGATGAGGTATGCGTAATCAATTCAGCAGTGAAACAAACTGAGAAGAAGAAACAAATGATTTTGGTTCTCAGTTCGATCAACGAACATCTCTATCGTTCGTCTTCATTTCATTATCTCAACAATTTACCATAGATTTATTGGTCGTGGGTTTTGATTTATTTGAGACATAAATAGGTAGCTTTTCCCTATTGCTAATTATCTAATTACGGACTATCAGTGCCAGACTAATCAATTTAAATGCAATAGTCTATAATTTGAATTACGTTTTTTTAAATATTTTTTTCAAAATAAAAAATAATACAAAAACAAGAAAAATAAATTAAAATTATGTAAAATATTTCAATTCTATAAATAGTTTATATAAAAAAAAACACAATAAAACTAATATTTTATTGTTGAAATATGGTTTTTTTATATTTTTTCCTACAAAATCGTTTATTAAACTCGCATAGTCTGAGTTTTTCAACCATAGTTGTCTCAATAGATAACAAAGCTAGCCCATTTAATCGCTCTTGGTAAATTGCAAATAATTCTTTATCAGCCTTAACTTTAAAAAAAAAATTTCAGCAGTAGCAACTGATGCCGGAACTGTCAACAATATGCGATATAAAACTTCTGTATTTTGATAACAATCCTCCATTTGTTTCAAAATATCAAGCACTTCATTAAGCTTTCCGACTTCATTTGGAGAATATTCAATTCTATAAACAGATCATCATCAACTATATTTGCATACCATTCGTTAAAGAAACCTTCAAGTTTGCAAATTCTTTTTTTTTTTCTAAAATATCTTAAAAAATGTTTTAAATTTTGTTTATTTATATGTATACTTTTTTAAAAAAATTAACCAACATATACTCTCATAAATTGGATGCCCTAATCTGTCGCCTATCTCATCTATGCTTTGGGCCGGTCCTACCGACTATCCTAGGGATGATTCATGATTGGTTAAGGTTGTAACTGTAGGATTTTATTTTAAACGGTAACTGTAGGAAATTTGACTGAAATATTTTTGATGTGACTTGAAAAAAAAAGTTAAAGCCATAATTTTTAGTTTTTGAAAAAAAAAGTGTGTCGATTGTTATGAATAATAATTAAAAATTTTCTATGAAGAATTTTAGGAGTAAGTTTAGTACTTTTGGGATTTTAAAACCATTAAAATCTGATTGGGTAAGATATGACTATGATAAAACCTTTTAAAAAACTTAAAACTTTTACAGTTTCTTAAGACGATTCGTCCTACTAATAAAATAAAAACAGCTTATTAATTAGGTTCATCACACATCATAAGGATAACTATTATACTATAGTAAGATATAACTTGTAAAATCGACGACCATTATATACATCGTTAATGGTTAACATTGAATTACATACGTTTGAATGA